GGGGGGGGGGGGGTCCACAAATGGGTTAACACATCAGAACCCTTTAAGGTTCTGATCCCAGAGGTTTTTATCAAACAAGGCAAAGAAAACTGACAAAAGATTTTTAGATCAATTAAAACAAGAACATGTTGAAAAACTCCAAATTAAACTGAATTTTATTTTCTTTATTTTTTCATTCCCGTTTTATTTTAATTTTTTTAATTTTATCTTAAATCACAAAAATAAGAATATGCAATTTTGATATTCAAAAACAATTTAAATTTCTAAATGATCTGTTTTATTTTATTTGTCACTCCATTGTGTTAATTTAATAAACAGTCAAATGGGCTTTTTAGCCTAATTAATATAATTTTAGTGTAAATAAATTTGAGTTTTTTTTTTTAATGGGACAATGTTAAATAAAATAAGATGCAAAAAAATAGATTAAAAAAATAAAAATTCACTCAATATCAAATCCTATGAATTCAGAGTTTTTAAAAAATATTAATTTCTGGTTCTTTCCAAATCTTTGTACCAAAGAATATGATAATAAATGCTTGGTAACAATGATTTCTTTACATGCTATAAATTAAACTAACTAACTTGATAAAATTGTAAAATAATAGTATTTAAGCAGTATGCTAATTTTAAAAGTTATTGACTCAGAAACATAAACTATAATGATATTACTGGATAAAATAAGTGTTTTAAATTAATGTATTAATTTCTGGCTGCCTCTTTCTTCAGGGTTAGCCACAAGAAAATGAAAATAATTGAGATTATTTTTGAAACAACAGTAAAGTTACAGGAACAGGATCATTTCCCACAAACAAGGAAGAAAGTGACAGAAGGTGAAGCGTGAGCTGCAGGATTGCTCCGAGCTCTTTACTCACCCTGAGAATCAGAGCTGCTCTAAACTCAGAACAAACACGTGTTTCCTGTCTCCTGGGACAAACAGCTGTCCACGTGTTTGCTGAAATGCTCGTGGAGAAGATGAATTGTCCAAACGTTGTGTGAAACTTCAGCAATTGTTGTTTTCTCTGAGCAATAATTGTTCCTCCGGCCTGAGAACAGCAGCTTCCCAAAGACATGAGCGATAATTACAGCCACACGTGCACCTCTGTCCTGATGGGAGCTGCTGGGACACGAGGACAAGCTGAGGACACGATGAGAGCCAGCATACAACAGCCTGACAGTAATCTAAGACTGAGGACCAACTGCAGCTGAGACATGAAGACAAACTGAGACAAGAAGACAAACTGAGACATGAAGACAAACTGAGACATGAAGACAAACTGAGACATGAAGACAAACTGAGACATGAAGACAAACTGAGACAAGAAGACAAACTGAGACATGAAGACAAACTGAGACATGAAGACAAACTGAGACAAGAAGACAAACTGAGACATGAAGACAAACTGGGACAGAGTTCTGCTGCAGGTTTTTCACTTTTAATTTGAAAGCAGGATGGTTGTGAAGAAGGTTTGAAGGGTCCATGCAGCTGAAGTCCAACAGAACTGTCTGAACCTGGAGCAGAAATGTATAAATACATTTTAACAGTTGAACAGAAATGCTTCAGCTCAAGGTCCAGGTTCTTTACTCTTCACATGGTACACGAGGTGGAACCAAGTTATGTAAAAACTGGATTCCAAAAAAGTTGGGACACTAAACAAACTGTGAATAAAAACTGAATGCAATGATGTGGAGGTGCCAACATCTAATATTTTATTCAGAATAGAACACAAATCACAGATCAAAAGTTTAAACTGAGAGAATGTTTCATTTTAAGGGAAAAATCTGTTGTTTCCAAATTTCATGGCGTCAACAAATCCCTAAAAGTTGGGACAAGTCCATTTTTACCACTGTGTGGCATCCCCCCTTCTTCTTCCAACACTCAGCAGACGTCTGGGGACAGAGGAGACCAGTTTCTCCAGTTTAGAAATAGGAATCCTCTCCCATTCATGTCTAATACAGGCCTCTAACTGTTCAATCGTCTTGGGCCTTCTTTGTCGCACCTTCCTCTTTATGATGCACCAAATGTTCTCTATAGGTGAAAGATCTGGACTGCAGGCTGGCCATTTCAGTACCCGGATCCTTCTCCTACGTAGCCATGATGTTGTGATTGCTGCAGAATGTGGTCTGGCATCATCGTGTTGAAAAATGCAGGGTCTTCCCTGAAAGAGATGACGTCTAGATGGGAGCATATGTTGTTCTAGAACCTGAACATAGTTCTCTGCATTAATGGTGCCTTTCCAGACATGCAAGCTGCCCATGCCACAAGCGCTCATGCAACCCCATACCATCAGTGATGCAGGCTTCTGAACGGAGCGTTGATAACAACTTGGGCTATCCTTGTCCTCTCTGGTCCGGATGACATGGCGTCCCAGTGTTCCATAAAGAACTTCAACTCGTGACTCATCTGACCACAGAACAGTCTTCCATTTTGCCACACTCCATTTTAAATGACCCCTGGCCCCGTGCAAACGTCTGAGCTTGTGGAGCTTGCTTAGAAATGGCTTCCTCTTTGCACTGTAGAGTTTCAGCTGGCAACGGCGGATGGCACGGTGGATTGTGTTCACTGACAATGCTTTCTGGAAGTATTCCTGAGCCCATTCTGTTATTTCCTTGACAGTGGCATTCCTGTTTGAGGTGCAGTGACGTTTAAGGGCCCGGAGATCACGAGCATCCAGTAGAGTTTTACGACCCTGACCCTTACGCACAGCGATTGTTCCAGATTCTCTGAATCTTTTGATGATGTTATGCACGGTTGATGATGATAACTTAAAAGTCTTTGCTATTTTAAGCTGGGTAACACCATTCTGGTATTGCTGCACTATCTTTCTGTGCAACAATGGTGGAATTGGTGATCCTCTTACCATCTTGGCTTCTGAGAGACACTGACACTCTGAGAAGCTCTTTTTATACCCAATCATGTTGTCAATTGACCTAATTAGTGTAAATTGGTCTTCCAGCTGTTCGTTATATGCTCAATTTCCTTTTTCCAGCCACTTATTGCTACTTGTCCCAACTTTTTTGGGATTTGTTGACACTGTGAAATTTTGAATCAACATATTTTTCCTTTAAAATGTTACATTTACTCAGATTAAACTTTTGATCTGTCATCTATGTTATATTATGAATAAAATATTGACATTTGCCATCTCCACATCATTGCATTCAGTTTTTATTCACAATTTGTTTAGTGTCCCAACTTTTTTGGAATCTGGTTTGTAGGTTACACCCAACAACAGCAGAAATGTAACTCCTGCCAGTGGCTCATATGGTCACCATGGTAACCACACACTGCGTCTCTCTCTGATTGACTGTTCACAGAACAAAAGGCAGGCAGAAATGAAGACTGAAAAGTAACCCTAAAACAAAGCAGAGTTTTAAAAACTGCAGAAAGTCTGACAGCCTCTGGGATTTTCACATCTTCGGGGTTCTTTCACTAAAACAGTGTTCTGCTAAAAAACATCTGTTTCCTCTGGCCTTTACACGCTCCAGTTACTGTTCTATTGTTCTGTTTTTATGCTTTTCTTTTGATGCTTTTAATTCATTTTCAGTACTATCATTATTTTTATTTTTCTCCATGAAATTACTCCCTTTGATTTTTAATGTTAAGCACTTTGGTAACAGCTGCTGTTTTAAATGTGTTTTATGAATAAAGTTGACTTCTTTTGTATTTGAAACATTAAATAGATCCTTTCCTACACATGTGTAGGCAATTTTTTAAGCTAAAATATAGTAACTTTCTTTTAATCCTGGCTGTGAACTGTCTGCACTCTGGGCGGGGTTGAGAAAAATCCACAGGTCCCAGTGGGAGACACACGGGGTGAAAGAAGATCATTTATGAGGACCCGATTATTTTCCACCTGAACAGGGTCTTGCTCTTCCTTCAACTTTAATGTGGCCTGAACCACAACTGTCC